TCCTATGAAATTGTTTTATGTTGGTAAAAAAGAAGTATTTCGAGGGTCGATTTCATCACTTATCGAGTTCCTCCATTATGTTAATAACTTCTTAATATTGATAATAGATTCGATTACTTATATCTATCGTCAATATTTATCTAAGTTTATCTTAATTTTGATCAAAGGTAAAAGTGTCGACAGAAAGATGACGAAAGTGGCACTATTGGAAGAAAAAATGTCAAAAAGTGTTGTGGAGACTTCTCCATATTTTCTCGTTTTGAAGATTGATAAACGAAACAGCAAAATTCCAATCAAACCTTTATTATTGAAAAAACAGGAATGAAAAAGACACTAAAATTTCTTTGGAATGATAGTTTATCGACCTTGAAATAATGTTCTCACTCACATCCACACCTTTTCGACATATACTTTCAATATTTTTACTTTTGACCAAACTTAGGTTTACCTTTATCTAGTTTCTCAAATTTAAGTATTCTCCTTGAAAACTAGCTCAGCTAAATCTATTTTCCAGACATAAATACAATTTATGCGATAGAAGTTTGATATCGAAGAAAAAAGTAAACAGACCAGGCGGCCTACCTGTCACGCACCCGGCCGAAAAATCGTGGCCTGTACTCCCTGCAGACCGGCCTAGTGGCTTAGTTGAGGCTCTGTTGCTTATTGATAAACGAAGTAAAATGTGTACGGGATCCGATTCCAGACACTACAGTTATGTCTTGATAATATTGTTTTTTGACAACACAATCCGAAGTTGTTTCTGAACAGTGTAAGCAAAAAGGTGTGGGTGTGGGCATGATTATGGTTGTTAGCGAAGAGATAGCCGACACCCACCCATACCCCACACGCACACGCACACTCACCCACACCCCGTCGCCAAGCTAAAAAAATAGTTAAACTTTTTTCAAAAAAATTTGGTTACTTTTCTTTCCAAACAACATGACTTAGAACAATCGTCGCCATTAATGCAATCATGAAACGCAGAGAAAGTATGTCTGAACACGGCCTCTATTTAAGTCGAATGCGTCTAGATGCGAGTTTCTCAAAATTATTTCGAAAACGCAGTGAGATACATTTGAAATTTAATTGAACGCTTATGATCGCGTTTTTCAAACGCGTATCGATGTATCAGAAAATAAAACGGAGTTGGATGCACTCTGTAAACGCAGTTAAACGCATTCATTCGTATTCGGAATGAGACGCATATGATACATAAATGCATTTGATTACAGCAAGAGTTCTAAACGCAGGTTAGTTTGTGTTGGATCTGACTGTGGCTGATGTTGATTCGCGTTTGCAAAAGTTATAAATACGCAGCAAAGCTAAAGTAAATCACGTTTTTTTTCATCTTAAGTGTATATCTCAAAATAACCGACCTTATCTAATCTTGGAGCAGTTACCTTCATCATCAGAGATAGCGACATCAAATTTATTCTACAGCGTTTGAAGCCAGTATAGTGTTTGGTTGGCATTTTTCGACTGTTGACCAAATGTGTTTATTTTCTGCAAAGTCTATGCCAATAGTATAAGTGCTAGATAGTATTACGTGTCAATCATACGAATTTCACTGCTCAAATCGAAAAGTTTCGATACATACTGACAACTATTCAGATCCTTAGAGGTGAGCTTATAGAAGGTGAATACCTGAACACCATGAGTGAACGACAGATCCAGAGTTATTTCCCGTGTTCCATTGTTGAAACACAAGAGATTCAGATATTCATACGAGCTGTTCTGGCTGATCGTGGTAAGTGCTCGCTTCTGAATCACATGCTCATATGATCTAGTCTAGATGATCGCACATTTGATATACGTAGCTGTGCACGAAATCAATCGGTTATTTTAGACGCGCCTAGACACGTTGGGACGCATCCAATGAACGAATCCAGCCGCGCTCTGCAAACGCGTCTAGATGCATCAGATGTTTTATTTTAGCTGCGTCCAATGCGTTTAATGTAACACGTTAGAAACGTGTTTAGGGTCGTCAAAATATTTACATGGGCAAGAGCGATCGTCTTTGATGGCAAAAGCATTGAGAAAGTTTTCTGAGTTAGATGCGAAGACATTTTCTTTTTGAAAAGACTACAAGACAAAGTTGAATTTTCTTTATAAATCTGCAAAAAGTTTTCGCTTCGCGAAATTTATTTTGACTTTTCCATGAATTTATGGAGTTGTTTCCGAGTCCAACGTTTTGTGCAAAAATTGGTCGAAAATGACAAGATTTCCGCGCATTTTAAGCTACACAAAAAATTAATATAAACTCTGGTGCGAAAAATGTTGATTTTAGAACGTACAGAACCTCGAAACATGAAAGTTGACTAGTGCTCGTATTTACTAAAATAGAACATTTTTTTTCCAAATCAGCCTGTAATAGTGTTGATTGGTATAGATGAATTCAGATATATGACATCCAAAGATTGAGAATTTACATTGGTATAGAGTTTTAGATTAATGAATAATTCTTTTCGTCTATCATTACTATTGTCATACATCATCTTTAATACTATCAATGGCATACGAACAGTTCCAAAAGGCTATTTATTAGGAGCAACGTATGAACTTGGGCCAACATCAGATAAATTATACAAAATTAATCCATTAACTGGAGAGTTTACGATATTCACACTTTTAAGTGATTACAAACCTGACGATGTTACCTATGATCTAATTAATAAAATATTCTATGTTTTTGTTAGTGAAGCAGCGGTAAGACGAGAATCATCGATGTCATTGATTTTGGTTAACCCATTTAATGGTACAAAACAATACCGAACAATTATCACAGAAAATTATGCTGAACTATTTGGTTTACGTGTCGATAGTAGTACAGGCAAATTATATTCGTTACAAATGTCAGGTGCAGGAGAAAATCCTGTAAGTATTGTTCAGATAGATCCGATTAATTTTATAGCTACACGATGGGTAAATATTACCAAAGTCGATGGTGTTTCACCTGATTCAATGGCAATCTTTTATAATTCAACAAATCATCAATATTTTGTGACAGTGGTGTCTGGTATCAAAGATATTCTTGTTGGTATTGATTTAAGGAAACAAAAAATAATAAGTCGAATTTCAAATGCTGATTTACCGTCCTATTTATGTTATGATAATAAAACGGATGCTTTTTATGGTATGCAACGTTTTATAAATAAGCGCGGCTGTCGGTTAATACGTTTGAACCCTTATAATGGTACAACAGACGTTTTATCAGACGATTTCAATAATTACGAACCATCGGCTGGAAATTGCTTTGAAGGATATTATTTTACAATGATTGTTCTGAATTCAGAAACACAGAAAATACTGACATTTGATTTAAACAATAATGGAAAATTAATATCGAATAAACTGGGAAAAGAATACTTATGTTCATTAGCATTTATTCCAACCTAGTAATGACTATTTGATGATACCACAAGTTTTCTCTATTAAATTTGAAGTTTTTCTTTTTTTAAAAAAGTCATTCTAGAAGGAACTAAGCAAAGTTTTTTTGTGCCCGGCTGCAATCACTTTTTCCAGTCCAGAAGCAAATAGAAGTTAGAACATATGCCTGTTCATTCTGCTACTTATATAGAACATGAAAGAGACAGTGAAAATACATGACTGAAAATTGTACTAATTTCTTTTTTTCGTATTATTGTCAAGCTGCTTATATGCACGTAACGGATGAATCGAAAGTTTAGAGACAAAATGTTTGTTCATTTTTGACCCGCTTGAAAGTATATCCGACGAGTCAAAATCTATGCGTTAGAATCAGAATTTTGTGCTTTTTTCGAATGTGGACTTACAAATTTTGTGTCGGTTTTTATTCAAGGGTAATAAAATAATCTTTGATAGGTCCAACAAATTAGTTTGAAAGGAAATTTTTTCCACACTTTTTTGTATTTTCACTCTTGTGATCCGAAACTAACAGTTGGAACCTTTGTTGTTATGCCAGCTTGTAGAGCAAAATCTACCCTAAAAATTGCACTATTTGAGTTCTTTTTGTCTTTCGACAAGACTTCTGAATTTTCGTTTTTCCTAAATCGGGATGTGGGTTTGGGTAGGGGTGTGCAGTGTCGGTGTGTGAGTGCGGTGAGTGGGTGTGACTGTGAGTATATACAACACCAAAACATTAACATATGCCCAGACCCACACCTCATTCCATCACACCCACACCCCTAAGCTACGGCAAGATAAAACATTAGTTGTTTTTTTTTTACTTTTATTTAATCACTTTTTTTCCTGCATGCATAAATATTATTACTTGCGCATTGTAAACTAGAAATATGGTCCAGTTTATAGAAAATTGGCATAGAAAAGATCCAAATATTTTTAGTTTTTTTCTATAATTAAACATGATAACAACTTGTACTATGAACTGCATGAATATTAATACGAACACAAACATTTAAATTAAATTTCCTTGTTCCGTTGTTTCTAACAATTATTATTAAAATAGAATGTTATTTTTCAATTCAACAATTGATGATAATGAATTTTCATCATCATCATCTCTATTTTGTTCAGAAAGTTTAAGAAAATATGAATCTGAACGAAATGATTGCGCAAATGTAGATGAAAAAAGTAAAGTGCTATCAATTATAAATTATTTGGTTAAATTAAAACATCTTATAAAATGAAAAGACCAGCAGTCAGTTATTCCAAATTCTATCTGTTTGGTTTTCGAAAATGTAAAAGAAGACTTTTTTTAATTTTACAATTATCAATAAATGCAATTGCTTAAAGTAGAAATTTCGACACATTTGTGTAATATTTATATATATTTTTCATTTTACTATTGCTTTAGTATTTATTTAATGAGCGCATTCGGCAACAAAAACCAGACCATAAAAAATTCACTGTGATGACGTTTGCTGTCACATACACAGGATTGAATTAACAGAGGTATGAATTAAAAATTTGGATAACTGAATACATTTATAGTTCTTCATAGGCTTTCGTGTACATACATATGGCAGAGAATTGTATGTAAAACAGAAGAAAAAAACAATAGAATGAATGAAATCACAATCGGATGGATGAAAACGTCATCTGGTAAGCATCAATATGCTTCTAACATACAACATTTTCAACAGCATCCGAATCAAAAACTAAAGAGTCAAGAGAAAAAATCTATGAAAAAAAATGTTCGATTCAACTGTCGTACGTCTACTGCTAAACAACAAGCGTTTGAAAATACAGAACCTAATCTTTCGGGAACAGCTCGATTCCAAAGATTAATTTTCGATGATCACGAACATATTTCATCAATAACAGATAGTTTCGCCACTGAGTAAGATAAAATATATTCATTTGATTCAAAAAAATTTGTACCGTACGAGCAGCAGTAATTACATTTATTATTGTGATATTGATTATCTTAGTTACAGCTATTTCTGTCGGTATTGTATTTGGTACGATAAAATCTCAACGAAGTGCATCCGGAACAGTGACAGAAAATACTAATCAAAATTCATGTAAATGAATATTCTTTTTTGTCCTTTGATTAACAAAGATTATTTAACAGGAAAAATTTTTTCTTGTTTCACTATCAACAATATCAACAACGATTATTGCTAACAGTGTTAGCATAGGAAGTCAAACTGGAGCACCCTGCTTATCATATACAACAAGTAAGAGAGAGTCCACGGCTCAGTCGAGAATACCTGTCATGAGAAAATTTTTGACATACCCTTTTTATGGCTTCAAAAGAAAACCTGAACAAAATTACCGATAAAAACAAAATTTTAGCCCGATCGGACGTAATCCTGAAAAATGAGAGGTGAAATACAAAGAGGGGGTGGGTCCGATACTCATATATCGATCA